ACAATCGCACCATCACCACCACCACCGTCATTATCACCACCATGATTCCTACCATTATTTCCCTGACACTGTACCGCCCGCACGCACACCTCGTGATATGAAATTGAGAGACAAGGAACCGGATAAGGAAAGAAGTGGAAGGAGAGGAGAAGAGAAGGAGGAAAAAGGGACGAAGGGGAGAAGCAAGAAGGAAGAAGAGAAGGGGTAAAAAAGAAGGGAAGATGGAGAACAAGGGGTAAGTTAGAGGAGGAGGAGGAAGGGCGAGGAAGGAGGGAGAACAAGAGGAAAGGAGATAGAGGGAAGTTGAAGCAGGAGAAAAGGGGAGAGGAGTAAGGGGAAGATGGAGAGAAGGAGAGGGAAGAGGAGGGAAGGCGTAAAATAAGAAAGAGAAGGAAGGGAGGTGGAGAAGGAGAGAGAAGAGGAAGAGGGAAGGAGTAAAATAAGAAAGGGAAGAAGAGGAGGTGGAGAAAGAGACAGAGGAGGAAAAGAAGGGGACGGGGTAAGAGGAAAAGGTAAGGAGAAAACAGGAAAAAAAGGAGAGAGGAAAAAGAAAGAGAGAATGGAGGTAAGGGGAAAGAAGGAGAAGTAAGAAAGAGAAAAAAAGGAATAGAAGGAATGGGATAATGAGTAAGGAGTGAAAGACTCAAAGGGAAGAAAGGGGAAGAGGTAGGGAGGGAGGGGGCGGAAAAGATGGAAAGAGGGCGAGGGGAAGGGGGGAGGGGGGGGAGGGAGAAGGAGGAGGGACGTACAAGAAGGATAAAGGAACCTTATCCAGCATCTCTTTTTATTGCAGCGACTTACAACTTACTCCTTACTTCTCCCTCACTCGCTCGACGACTACGCCAGGAATCATACGCACTCACTCACTCATTTGTTTACTCACTCACTCGGCCATTCATTCATTCAGTCACTCACTCACTACATCACTCCTCAACTCCTCACTCACATTAACTTACTCACTCTTCACTCACTCACTACACACTCACTCACAACACACACACCACGCACACACACGCACACACACACACACACACACACACACACACACACGCACACACACACACACACACACACACACACACACACACACACACACACACACACACACACACACACACACACACACACACACACACACACACACACCACAACACACACACAACACAACAAAAACACAACAAAAAACACAAAGTAAACAGATAAACAACAAACAAACAAACAACACAACCCTTAGTACACCTCCATACGCAATCAACCCCCCTCCCCTCCCCTCCCCCCTTCCCCCCCGCACACACGCACAAGCAGACCGAAGCACGCAAGGACCTCGCATTCTTGGAACCACAACGACCTCAGCCGAAGCACCGCATCGACCTGCAGGCAACAGTTGTCTTTTTTATCATTATATATATTTTTTACCTTTTTTCTTTTCTCTTTTTTTCTGTTTTTTCTTTTTCTTTTTTTTTTTTTTCTACCTGCTCTGCTCTGTTTTTTTTTTTCTTTTTCTTTTTCTTCTTTTTTCTTTTTTTTTCTTTTCTTTTCTGTGTTCTTTTTTTTCTTTGTTCTACCTTGCTCTCTGTTTTTTTTTTCTTTTTCTTTCTCTTTTTTTTATCTCGCTCCCTCTCTCTCGTTTTCTTTTTTCTTCTTCTTTTTATGTGTGGAGAAAAGTAGTTACGGGGTTGGGGGTGGGTTGGGAGGGGTTGGTTAGGAGGGGAGGGGGGGGGGTTAAGGAAAAAGAGGGTGGGATAGGTCGAGGTCCTCAGTCAGCGTGTTTTTAATGTTTCTTCTTTATTTTGTTTATTCTTTATTTTTTCGTGTTTTTATACTATCTATTCATTTTGTTTTACTTTTACTTTTTTTTAGTTCTTTACTTATTTCTTTATTTTCTGATTTTTCTTCCGTGGTCTTTTCCTTGTATACTTTTTTATACATATTACCCGAGTCTGTGGTTTCGAGTATTCATTCTTGCTTTTCCTTTTTTTTTATCCGATTTTGTATTTCGTTCACCTTGTTTATTTTTTCTATGAACAAAGTATTGAATAAAACAACAGAAGACAAGAAAAAAACACTAAAGATTAACAAATCAAGGACCGTAAATATAAACAAACGAGTAAACAAAAACATCAACAAAAACACAAAAAACACACATAACAAAACATCCACATTATAACTATCAATAAAAAATCACACAGCATAAGTACATAAGTAACTAAAAGACACAATTAAAGAACATTTTCGTGTAAGTAATTAAGTAAAAGAATATTCTCGAGTAATAAGGAAAAGAATATTCTCGTGAAATAAGTAAAAGAATTCTCGTGTAATAAGTAGAACATTCTCGTGTAATAAGTAAAACAATATTCTACAATAAGTAAAAGAATATTCTCGTGCAATAAGCAAAAGAACATTCTCGTGTAATAAGTAAAAGAACATCTCAAGTAATAAGTAAAACAATATTTCTCGCGTAATAAGCAAAAGAACACTCTCATGTAATAGGTAAAAGAATAATCTCGAGTAATAAGTAAAACAATATTCTCATGTAATACGTAAAAGAACATTCTCGCGTAATAAGTAAAACAATATTCTCGCCGTAATAAGCAAAAGAACATTCTCGTGTAATAAGTAAAACAATATTCTCGCGTAATAAGCAAAAGAACACTCTCAAGTAATAAGTAAAACAATATTCTCGCGCAATAAGCAAAAGAACACTCTTAATAAGAAAAGAACACTCTCGTAATAAGTAAAACAATATTCTCGCGTAATAAGTAAAAGAATATTCTCGGCCCCACACACCCGCGTCGCCGAATCGGTAAGGTCCTCGCAGCAGAAGCGGGTCTGCCTCGGGCCAAGACAATCCTCTCCCATCTTCGCACGCCGGGCGAACTTTTACGCGAGGTGCCATTTTCTTTTTTATTCTCTCTCTCTCTTCCTCTTCTTCGATTTGCGTATTTTAAGTTCTGTCATTTTTCTTCGTTTCTTGTGCGTTTTTCATTTCTTTTATCCCATTTCTAATTTTGTATATATATATTTTTTCTCCTCCCCCTACCATTACTACCATTCCCTCTCTTAATCTCCCTTCTCCTTCTCCTCCCCACTTCCCCTTTTTCCACCATTTATTTACCCATTTTGAAAAATTCTCATTTTATTTCTGCAGTTTTCCGCCCCAAAGCAACTTCCAGCCTCATATTGATTGCGTGTCTGTCCTTAAGGCGTTGGGGTTTCCTCTCCGCCTCACCTCTCTTCGCTGCGGAGGAGAGAGAGAAAGAGAGGGAGGGGAAGGAGAGGGAGGGAGGGAGGGGAAGAGGAGAGGGGGAGGGGAAGGAGAGGGAGGGTGGGAGGGAGGAAGAAGGAGGGAGGGGAGGGAAGGGAGGGAGGGAGGGGAGAGGAGGAGGAGGAGGGAGGGGAAGGAGAGGGAGGGAGGGGAAGAGAGGGGGGAGAGGGGGGAGAGGAGGGAGGGGAAGAGAAGGGAGGGGAGGGAAGAAAGAGGGTGGGAGGATGGGAGAGGGAGGGAAAAAGGAGAGAGGGGAGAGAAAGGGAGGGAGAGAAGGGAAGAGGAAGGGAGGGAGGGAGAAGAGAGAAGGTTAGGGAGGCAGGGGAAAGGGAGAGAGGAGGGGAAAGGAGGAAGGGAGGGAAGGATGGGATGAAGTGAGGGAGGGAGGAGGGAGGAAGGGAGGAAGGATAGAGGGAGGGAGGAAAGGCAAGGAGGGAGAGAGGAGGATGGAGTGAGGGAGGTAGAAGAGGAAAGGATGGGAAGGAGGGAGGTAGGGGGTTAGGATAAGGAAGAGAAGGAGGAAGGGAGGGTGGAAGAAAGGGAAGGAGGGAGGAATGGAAGGGAGGAGAGGGAGGACGGAGGAAGGAGGAAGGGAGGGAGGGAGGGAAGAAGGGAAGAAAAAGGAAGGGAGGAAGGGAGGGACAGATGTAAGGGAAAGGGGAAGAAAGGGGAACGAAGAGAAGAGAGAGAGAGAGAGAGAGAGGAGAGAGAGAGAGAGAGAGAGAGAGAGAGAGAGAGAGAGAGAGAGAGAGAGAGAGAGAGAGAGAGAGAGAGAGAGAGAGAGAGAGAGGGAAAGAGATGAAAGAGAGAGAGAGAAAGAGAGAGAGAATGAAAGAAAAGAAAAAAGAGAAAAGGAGAGAAAAATCGACAGAGACAGAAAACAACAAGGAAGAGAAATTAAAGAGACGGCGAAATTCTAAGTCCCCTCTCACCCCTCTCTCCTCCTCCCTCTCCCCCCCCCCCCTTCCCCTCTCCCCGCATTCGTACCCAGTCTTACGCGGAAAACGTTTTCAGAAATGACAAGGCGAGCGTAGAAACATCGTTTTTGTAAAGACTTCAGGGTGCATCATCATCTTCACCACTATTCTCATCTGCACCTTCATCATCATCGTCTTCATCACTATCATCATCATTAACCTTATCCTTATTATCATCTTCACCACCATTCTCATCTGCACCTTCATCATCATCGTCTTCATCATCACCATCTTCAAATTACCTTCATCATTGTCGTCTTCCTCCCCATCATTATCATCATCATCATCTTCACCATCATCATGGTTTTCACGTTCATCATCATTATCATAGCCTTCAGTATTACCAATTTCATCATCGTTATCATCATCACTATCATCATCATCATCATCATCAATCCTCATCGTCATCATTATTATCATTTTATATATTTGTCCACATTTATCAACACACGAACCATCCACCAACAACCCCCCCCCCCCCCTCACCCCCTAAAACACCCAATGAATACATGAATACACCCTATTAGCACATCCGAAAATTACAAACCAAAACAAAAATAAAAAACAAAAACAAAAACAAAAAAAACTAACCCCGCGCCCCGTTAGACACTCCTCACCGCAACACCAACACCCTTAAGAAAAATAAATAAATAAATAAATACAATTTATTCGTCTAAACTTACAAACCAAAATTAACGATATAATAAAAATAAAAAAATCCATAACCGCGCCCCCCCCCCCCCCGAAAACAGCTACAAATGTACCTTATCAGCACCTACCACACTATTACCTTCATATACCGAACGTGTAAGCCTTCAGTAAGCAGACGATTCTCACGCCGTTCTCACCTGCAGTACCGGGCTCTCTTATCTCGCTATGGAAAGCCTCAAACTAGGTCTTACAGGTACGTACAGGGCTAAGAGCGCCTCTGTCGGTGGAAATCGCAAGTACAAAGGGAAGATGTTTATTTTTAAAAAGTGTTTTTTTATCATCTTCAGCTTCATCTGAATCTTCATCGTCATCATCCTCACCATTATATTTACTTTCAATATCATCATCTTCATCATCACCGCTATCTTCATCATATTCATCTTTTATCTTCGTCACATTTCCATAATCGGTATATTAGGAAAAAAAATCTTTAAATGAATTGATAGCATAAAAGATGCACATAAATGCTACAGAGGAAACACAAGATAAGTCATTCTATAAACAAGATAACACTGTACAGACTCCAAGGAAAAGCGATATGAACTATATGCATTATACAACGTAGTATTGCATAACTTAAATAAATCGGCGTTTGAAGGTTTGTTTTCCATGGACTGTTATTAAAAAAAACAGCATTACTCTGTCTACTGAGACGTTTTATTAGATTACACATTTATGGATATGTATAACATCAATAGAAAAACAATATGTGTTCATATCGCTTCACAGAATGCGTTTTTTCTCGTAATCACCAAAGAGGTGGATATAGATACGCAGTGCCGCGTAAAATAAGAAAAAAGAGAGGAAATGGATAGAACAAAAATGCTAAAAAAAGAAGAAATGCAATATATCTACATATTTTCCAAAAATAGATATTCGAGGGTTGTTATGTGAATTTAATAAATGCATTTACCAGGCAGTTAACTTTTGGCGCGCGATGTCTCTGATATTTAAATAAAGGAAACAAATTTATTGAGACAATATTGAATTTCCTCTCTTTCTCTCCCGGTCGAGAAAATTCTTCTGTTAAAAATGGAATCTCAGTATAATCTAATATTTGAAGTTTTGAACATTAAACAGGAGATGGAATAAACAAAGGCACAAATTATGTTTATTTAGCCTGTATTAAAAGAATGGAGCAAAAAAGGTAACAAAAAATATCACTAATATGAAAAAGCAATTTAGAAACTAATAAAACAAATCAAGTGTTTTTTTCCGTGAAATACAAATGATAAGAATTGCTATAATGCCTAAAAAATGTTTCCAAAATAGTTTAATGTATCAGATAATTAATATTCGTTTTGCGTTTTACATTATGCACATTAGTAATTTGCATTATGTTATCAATATAGGTTGATATACAAAGAAAAATGTATAAAACATTTCATCGTATATTGTTCAAGATCTATAGGGAAAGATGAGATGTTGATAATATTGCAATTACTTTAATTACAATTTCAAGTAATGGTAATAGCAATGATAAAATATAATAATAAGAATAATATGATAACATACATAACAACCATTGCTTTCCTTGTAATAATGTAATTAAAACACAGTTACGATGATGATAATGTGGGTGATGATAATGAAATTAATGACAATAATGGCAATACTACTACTAATAAGAATGATGAGAATGATGATAATAATAATGATAATATTGACAATAATGATACTAATGATAATGTTAAAGATAATAATGATAATAGTAGCAATGATGATAAAAATGATAACGATGATATTGATTATGATAATAATAATAATGATGACAATAATGATAATGGTAGTAATAACGATATTAATAACAATAATGATAATGAATAGTAGTAATGATGATGATAATGATAATAACAATAATGATAATAATGATAATAATAAGAATAATAATAATGATAATAATAATAATAATGAAAATAACAATAATGATAATAATGACAATAATGATAAGAATAATGATTTTATCAATAATGATAATGATAATCATGATGATGAAGAACGTATCATTAACAAAGCCCAGCAACACACTATAATATCTATCCTTAATCACCTCAACACTTGACCTCTTTCTTTAACCTTCAAGATTTGTTTTTCCCGCCAAAACGCTCAGTGGGTTTCTGCCGCTCGGGTATAAAAAATATTCTGTTATCAAGAGAAATAAAAATGCACTTTAAGATGAAACAATTCTGATGCTGATAAGATCTTCAGCGAAAACAAAGGCAACAAAAAAGGATCACAAAAGATATGAAGTACTGGACAAAATACTAAGAATGAAACTTCGAAATCTTTCTAACCTAAATAACTTGTTCGAGACGCATTTCGGAACAGGGTTTATATGTGTGATCCCTCCATATATATTTCCCTGTAAACGTGATGTGGATACAGTTACATTTAGAGGAAATCATCGCTGATTTTTTTCTTTTCTTTTTTTCCTCTTTCTCTCTCTTTTCTCCTACAAAATTTGTACGTTTGTTTTACCTCTCTTCCGCTTCTACTTTCCTTATTTTTATTGTCCTTTGTTTTATAGTATTTTCTATTTTCACTTTCCCTCTTCTTTGCCAGCTTTCTCTATCATCCACTTCCTCCTCCTCCAAATCTTCTCATTCCTGGAGCATTCTCTTCTTTCGCTTTTTTCGTAACCTCTTCCCTTTCTTTGTTAATTTTCCTCCCTTACCTCCTTCTCCTCTTTTCTTCC